GAGAGGCTGACAGTTGACCACTAACAAATTAAATACTTGTAGGTGGGAACTAATAAAGTTTTATTATCATAAATACAGATATAGAGTAGACATTTTTATAAAATACAATCACAGGAAATCAAAACCACCCACTATTCTAAAGCCAGAGAACCTCTTTTCCTGTCTCATCTGGCTAGAATGGAAATTCCAGAGACCCTTGAAGAAAATCAGCAATTTCTGTTGAAAAAAGCGCCCTTGCTCTACTTCAAGAAATGATTAATGTAATCTGCCTATTCACAATAATGGTCCGGGGCCGTGGAGAAAGGGAGTTTGTGCTCCAACTTCGGCATCCTTAGAAAACTGTACGAAGCTTCCCCAGATGGCTGTTCAAGGCCTTCAGCAGTTTAAATCTCCCCTTCTGCAGCTCCCTCACATTGAAAAGGACACTCTTAGAAGTTCTCACCATAAAAAGTACAAAATTAACACTAGACAAGGTAAATCAGACCTGTATGTGCAAATATTGTATTGTCTCCCTAGTGTAAGAAACTGAAAGAGTAAACAAGATCCAAAAGGTACAATAGATATTGTGAAAGGGAAAGAAACTGCTCAAAAGGAAAGAACAACTGGATGGGGGAAAGGAGTAAAGAAAGAAGGGAAAAAATATATATATACACATACACAAGATAGCTAAGATAATTGTTAGATAATACTAATTTCTACTGGCTATTGAAAGGAACCGTTAATGCCTGTTTGATCAATTTTGCATGCCTGTATCTGGCAATCTGAGCAACTACTTTGCCAATAAAATATCCAATATAACAACCACTGTTAATTTCCTATCATCTTGTTTTGAAATTCTGTATCAGTTTTACTGTTTTTTAATTTAATTTAATTTTTAAAATTCTCTTTAAAATAGTAATAAAAAAAAGATTTGGTGAGTTTGAAAGAACCAGATCCTCACAGTCTTCCCTGAGGATAAAAATTCTGAGGAGGCTGTGGCTGGCTTTGGGCATTTTCCACGCATAACCATGGCTGCAAAATCACAGGTACCGGATGCTGCAGACAGCGCTAAGATCACAGGAAGGCCCCTCGTTCCAGTGTTGGTTAAGTCGACCAGGTAAACAGTGGGCAAAGTGGTGTTAAAAGAACAAGACAAAAGGAGGACGGCAGCAGAAGAGGAAAGGACCCAAGAAAACTGCTAAATAAAAGTTACAAAAGAGAAGCCTTAAAAAAACTGCACCTGTGACGCTACCGCAGTGAAAGCAGAAACGGAAGCGGGCGAACGGAGTAGTTGGGAGTGAAGCCGCCGTAAAGGAGGGCGGGGAATCTCTGACAAAGCAGTGATGATGCGGAAGAAACCAATGGCGATCCCCGAGTGGAAGAGACCGCGGCAGTGACAGAGCGTCTGAGGCGGAAACCAGAACAAAGACGGTGACGCGGAAGGGCAAGAAGTGCTACGAAGTACATGGCGAAAGGACAGAGCTCTCCTGGAAACCAAATCGAAGATCACACACCCCGAACACAGTCTTTATTTTCCTGAGCAAAAGCAGGAATGGTGGTGGCTTTATATTGCAGCTGGGAAGGCACGGGCATTAATATCTACGCCATGTCGTGTGTGTATGCTCCAAGAAACAGAGAGGTCGAATTAAATTTCCTGCACCAGGCACACCTGGAAATTATCATTACTCAGTGTTTTTGAGATCAGAATTGTAGGTAGGTTTGGATCAGAGTAAACCGTTAGGATTAAAATTAGAAGTTCTTTTCTTTTTTGAGATAGGGTCTCATTGTGTAGTCCAGGCTGGCCTGGAACTCATGGCAGTCCTCCTGCCTCAGCCTCCTGAGAGCTGGAATTACAGGCATGTGTAGCTGGCAGTTGGAAGTTCTGGAGGCTAAGCCTGTGCCTCAAAATCACCCGCAGTGGGATGCAGCAATACAGGGGGCTGAAGATCAGGAAGACAGTGAGGGCTTTGAAGATGGCTTGGAGGAAGAAGAGGAAGAAGAGGAAGATGAGGAAGGTGATGGCTAAGCAGTACGGTGAGGGGACCACAGTGTTTGCATGTCTGCAAACTTTTGCCGGTTGGAGGTGTATAATAAACCACACGCAGTGCAGAACTGGTGTTGAAGGAAGCATTAGTTTCTTTACTAGGAATGGGTGCATAAAATAGGAGTTGGTGTTGCCTTGGTACAGTCTGAAAAATGCTTAAGGATTATTGAAGCCTTTCATGATGGAATGGTGCATTTATTTCATCTGCAAATGATAATAAATCTTTTGTTATTATAACTGTCAAAACAATCCAGAGAGCCACTTACACAGTGTTAATATTTGGTTGTTTTTGTTTTTTCCAGTACTGGGGATGGAACTGAAGGCCTTCACGCTAAGTTATACCCCCAGCCCATTTATTTTTTATTTTGAGATAGTTACTAAATTGCCAGGATGAGTTTGCATTTGTGACCTTCCTGTTTCAGCCTCTCACAGTGCTAGGATTAAAGGTGTGTGTCACCACACCTAACTTCTTTCTTTTTTCTTTTTTTATACAATGCGTTTTCTCACACATAGTTGGAGCAATACTGTGTAGTATAGCACAGTATAATATAATATTGTGTAACTACTTTTATCCTGATCCTAAACCTTTTTTATAATCTTTATAAACATAATTTTAAAGGATTACACCAACCACCTCGTGACCCACGTTTTATTCAACTTTCTCCCAGCATTTTGGCATTCAGAACACTCTCTGCCCTGATCCTAAATTGAAATAATCCTCGATAAATCCTAATTAAAACTGTCAGGGGCCCAAGCTGTCCCCTGCAGGTGCTTCTTCTGTGCAAAGGTGTCACGGAGAAGAATCCACGAACCAGTGAGCAAAGGGGTGACCATTTTATGAAAATGTGGGCGAGAAACACTTTTTTTTTTTTTTTTTTAGTTTTTTTCTGGTAGCGGGGATTGAACTCATGACCTTGCACTTGCCGGTCAGGTGCTGTGCCGCTGAGCTAAACCCCCAGCCCCTCGAGAAACACTTCTGTAATTGTGTCTTTTCTTCAGTATGAGAGATCCTTTCCTTAGATGCGATTGCTGGAGTTGGAAACCCAGGGTCGAGGGAGGGGCAATGTTATTTTCTGGAAGGATCACACCGAATTTATTTACTTCTGAATTTTTATGAGTATGTTTGCACTACCTAATAATTACGTTCATCTCGGGGAATTGCTGCATGCACTTGTGATCATTTTTATACATTGATTTCAGACTTCACAAGGCTGTGCAAGCCTGCCTGCTTCCGGTGGGAATCCAAACACTCACCTCACCGCTTCCCTGGATCTGGGACATGGAGGCAGCAAAGTTCTAGCATGATTTTAATCCTCGTGAAAACGTGCACCCCGGCTCTGCTCCCTGGGCTCCCCTCACCGCCTCTCCTGCAGGGCCGCCCCTCGTTCCTCAGCCCTTCCTCCCCGCCTTTCTCTGGTTCCCCTGCAGCTGCCTGTTCTCTGGCGGGGGCAGGTGATACAAGGACCTTGCTCCCGTTAAGGCCTCGGTGCCCCAGCAGCTGGAGGCCTCATCCCCGGCGGGTGGGGTGATTGCGTTTTCAGGACGTGCTCCTGGGCAGTGCTGAAAGCATTGGTGACAGGCGGGACGCTGCAGTGCCCGGGGAGGGCCAGGTCTTGGGTCTGGGCCTTGCAATGTACACTGTGCTGTCCAGTGCTTGAGCACAGGCCAGGGCTGGGCTGGGCGAAGCTTTTCTCCTTTCCTAGCTGCCAAAGCGCCAGCCGCTCAGAGTAGAGACGTGTTTTGCTCGAGGGAAAGTGCGTCCCTCAGAGGAACTTTAAGGAGAAGCAGTTTACTGAATGGGACATAATAAAGGACTGGGCAGAGGTATGCACAGGTGCTTCACCTAAAATATGACTATGGTACCAGGCAGGGCCCCTTTCAGGGCTTCCTTTAATCATTTGATTAAAGCTGCCGAAGGTGTGGAGGGCCTTGGCTGTGTGTCTGTAGCCGGTGCTGTGATTAAATTGCAGATCCCTGGCAGAGCGGGCAGGATGCCCCTGCCTGGGGCCAAGGCTCTGATCACCACGGTGGAACTCGGAGGGGCACAGGAGGGTTCCCCACTGGGCCCTTCTCTTTCAGCAAGGTTGAGGGTGCCCTTCACAGCTCGGAGTGTTACAGGTCTCATCTGTGGGCTTTACGTCTGGCTCTATTTTTGTTTTTTGGGTCCTGGGACTGAATGCTGAGCTACATCCCCAGCCCCTTTTAAAATTTATTTTTACTTTTACATTTGGAGACAGCGTTTTGCTAAGTTGCTAAATTGCCTAGGCTGGGCCCAAATTTATAATCCTCCTGCCTCAGCCTCCCACCGTGCTGGGATTTGTAGGTGTGGGCCAGCACGCCCAGCCAGTGTAGTTGTTGTAATAGGCCGAAAAACTGAAGAAAGCGTTGAGGAGTGTGCCTGAGGCTCCTGAGGGAGCTGGGCCTGCCACATGCGCTCTAGAGTTTACAGATGAGCAGGGACCGACCATGGGGAGGATCTTAAGGGTGGGGGTGCTTCGATCAGACACAGTCCTGGGCCCCGACAGTGCGAGAAGGGGAGATGGGGAGATGATGAGTCCGCTGTCAGCTCTCAGGAGACCTCGGGAGCCCGGCGAGGGGCAGGGTGGTCTTGCAAGGAGAGGGCGGGTGCAAGCGGGAGCTGGCCAGACGCCCGTCTCCCCGTCCTCTGCCTCCGCCACGGCCTTTTCCAGTCCTCACAGACTCGCCTCTTCCCTTCCAGCCTGTCCAGCCTGACGATGGCCCCGCTGGCCTCCGTGGCGTGCAGTGCCCGTGCCCGGCTCTTTGCCGGCCTCCTCCGGCCGGGCGCCCAGCACACCGGTCCTCTCCAGCTGCACACAGGAGCCAGCTGTGCGGCCAGGAGCCACTATGAGGTGCTGGTGCTGGGGGGTGGCAGCGGCGGGGCCACCATGGCCGCTCGCATGAAGCGGAAGGTGGGCGCCGAGAACGTGGCCGTCGTTGAGCCCAGCGAGGTGAGCGACCCCTTTCGAGGGCACCTGCATGCGTGTGCGCGTGCGTGTGCGTGTGCGTGTGTATGCATGTGTGTGTTTGTGTGTGTGTTGGGGCGGGTGGCGCGACCATCAGGCCCCGGCCTCGGTCTCTCCAGGTAGCATTGCCAGGCCCCCAGAGTTCTTTCCCCGAGTCAGATGGAAATCATGCACCGGCACAGAGCGGCTCTGTTAGCACTTTGTCAGCAGCCCTGGTGTCACCAGTTACTGCTAGATGCCAGGAGGGGCCACAGCCAGCTGCGGGCCACTGCTGCTGTTGGACACCACGGGCTGGCTCTGCAGACTGCGGGTCTCTGCTGCGGGCCTCTGGAGCTCTCCAGTGCTAACGACTCTCAGTGTTTATTGCTGTTCTTTTGAAACAACCCCTCTGCCCAGGACTCAGGATAAGACTCCTGGGCAGATTTGCAGGACCTTTGGAGCTGGTGTTACCTGAGAAATAACTCAGGGACAGGTTCAGAGGAGCACCAAGGCGGGTGTTTATGTTTAAAAAGAGGAGAGGAGGACAGAGGGAAGTGAGCAGCAGGGCACGAGAGCCACTGCTCCCCACCCACAGCCAGCCTGGGGAAAATGGGGAGTCAGGCCAGTCCAGTTGATCTCAGTGGTGCTTCTCCTCCTGGACATGACAAGCAGCCCATTGCAAAGGATGGAGGAAGGGAGAGGGCAGCTCTCCTGGCTTTTGTCTTCTCTCCTGTTTCGGTTTTTAGAGTTTCTGTAACAAAGGACCACAAGCCAGGTGCTTAAATAAGCAGTCGTGCATTCTCCCATGGTTCTGGAGACCAGAAGTCCCAAACCAAACCACCTAGCTAGGGCCAGGGCCAGGGCCAGGCTTGCTCTGATGGCTGGATGGGGAGTGGGTGGGGGCATCCGTGATGCTCTGCAGCTCCCAGGGGCTGGGGTTGGCAGCCGTTCTTGCCACCCCGACCTGTGGCTGTCACTGCATCCTCTGCTCCTGTCTTTGTGGGGTGTCCCCTGGCCGTCCTGGTGGGGAGGGGCAAGGCAGGACAAGAAAGATTTGAGTCTACTCAGAGCCGTGATAGGAGAGGGCCCAGGGGGCGCTCTCTGCCACTTTTCTTTTCTTTTGAGAAGGAGATTTTGCTAAATGGCCAAGGCTGGCCTTGAACTTGTGGTCCTCTAGCTGCAGCCTCCCAAGTAGCTGGGATTACAGGCTTTGGCTACCATCCCTGGCTTGTGCCTTCTTTTTTAAAAAGTGACTTCCCTTCAACCGACAGAGAGCAGTTTAAATGCCTGTGGCCCAATAGCTTCTTCAGGCGACTGTTCCCTTGGATGCATGCTCTGCTCCCCGCCTGGCTCCCAGGGGCTCAGCAGAGGTGGCTGCTCTGGGAACGGGACACAGTGCAGGCCACACTGAGTCTGCCTGGTCCCTGGGGAAACAGCAGGGCAGGAGTGTCTTGAAGAAACTGCCAGGGGCTCAGGCTTTGGGCACCTTCCCGGCTGTTTATTGATGCTGGAGTTGATGTTTCCAGCTGGACAATTAAAAAAAAAAAAAACAAACCAAGCACAAACACAAGAAAGCCCCAGCTTGTATTTTTATTCTTCTTCCTGCTCAAGTTAGATTTGAATCGATGAGATCTCGCTGCTGGACGCCTCTGCCCTGCGCCCCACTGACCCTGTCCATTGCTGGCGGCAGGGAGGTCGCCACCCTGTGGGTTTCGGCTGCCCTAGTCCTGCAGTTTGAAGCACTTTGGTAATACTCAGTGCTCTTGGTGCCCTGGTCCATTGCATGAGTGAATCCTCAGAAGCCCTGAAGCTCTGTGGTCCTGCTCTAGGACGTTCACACCAGCTTAGAGCACAAGTGGACCGGCTAGAGCAAGGGGACTGGAGAAAGCAGAGACTAAGGGGCGGAAGTCTGGGCTGCATCGCCCTGGGCGGGGGGCTGGCGCTCTGTGGCTGTGGGTGCAGAGGCTCTGGGAAGGAGAAGAGGGGCTTCATCCGAAATGTCTGAAGGCCACCCCGGGTCTGGGGACACGGACTGAAGTTAGGGAAGTTTCGAGGCTCCCCAAAGTAGCTGTAAACTTGCCAGACTTCCCACGGGTTCACATACTTCTGAGCAACCATAGTTAGGCTTCTGGGCTTGAGCTTTCTTCTTTGTATCTGCGGATATAAATGCATCCATGGTGTTTTCACACGTCTGTGTATCTATATGCATATGCACGCACACACACACACACACACACACGTGCACACGCACATAGATATCTATCACATACATATTATACACCAAGACAACCTTTAGCAATAAATAATACAGTGGTCACTACAGATAAGTTCATGCCTTTTAAACATGATCGTGGAAGAATTATTGGGTGGGTGACTGTCCTTCAGAGCTTAACATAATAAGAGACACCACAGGGAGGGAAGTAACCTGGGAACTTTGTGAGATGCTCTAAGGTCCAGAGAGAATGAGCTTAGTTCAAATTCATCCAAGTTGGACCCCGCAGATTAGGCGCAAACTGAAATACTCTCCAAATGCCTCGTTCCACAGAGACATTTCTACCAGCCAATCTGGACCCTGGTCGGTGCAGGTGCCAAGCAGCTGTCCTCCTCCGGCCGTCCCACAGCCAGTGTGATTCCGTCTGGGGTGGAATGGATCAAAGCCCGAGTGGTGGAGCTGGACCCGGACAAGAACTGCATCCACACCGACAACGGCAAGCAGGTAGCGTCTCGGGCCTTTGCAGTATAAAAAAAATTTATTTCTGTATTTTGGTTTTTTGACAGGGTCTTGCTCTGTCGTGCAGGCTGGCCTTGAACTCACAGTGATCCTCCCGCCTCAGCCTCTCGGAGGCAGGAGTTATAGGCACGTGCCACCACACCCAGCTGGATTTTTCTGTTAATGGGAGGGCTCATTTAATGCATGAACTGGGCAGCTTCCTGGTGAAAGAGTGGCTGCACGCATGTGCGTGGAGACTGCTGCTGGAGGTGGCAGGGCACGCGGCCAGTGGAGAAGAAGCGGAAGGGTGCCGAATTAATGAACAGCTAAGCTGAGTTCTGGCTGTCTGTCCAGCTGTGCAGCATTCTGAGTGCTACAGCACCTGGCACTGGGTTGTTTACTAAACAAATGCTTGTGCCCTGTGAAAGGGCAGCAAGCATGTCCTGCCTGCTTCGTCTTTGGAGGCAGTTAACCTTCCTCCCTGACCCCTGGCCTCCCAGAGGGAAGGGGTGCTGGGAACACGAGGGGCCGCTCTGTGGAGCTGTAGGGGCGTCAGGTGACTGACGCTTGTGCCAGGGCTAAGGAGAACTGTTGCTGCTGGAGCTTGGGACTCACGATTGCTTAGCATCGTTTAGAAGTCTCCTCCCGGCCCTACGCAGGGGTCAGATCTTTCTGGCCACGGCTGCCCCATCTCTGGCCGAGGGACCCCAGGCTCAGCACCCGCCTGCAGTTCCTGTCCCTGGCTGCAGCTGACTGGGAGCCGGGTGACGGGAGGGGGAGCAAAGGCACAGAACAGTCCAGAACACAGCCGCGCACTGCCCAGGCTGCCTGGCCTCCACCGTGCTGATTCACGCGGGGCCCAGGCCACTTCCCAGCTCAGCAGTTCCGCCCCAGCAAGTCAGGTCAGGCTTCCCCGCCCCAGAAGAGGGCAGTGACTACTTATGACACGGATGAGCGGCAGATACACATGTAAGTGTATGTGCATATATGTATGTGCATGTTTCTTTTATTCTAATTTTAGAAAATGGTTTAGTTTTTGAGACAGGGTCTCACCATGTAGTTCAGGCTGGCCTTGAACTCATTTTGTAGCCCAAGCTTGTGGCCATCCTCCTGCCTCAGCCTCTCAAGTGCTGAGGGTTGCAGGTGTGCACCTGCACATAAAGGTTATAGTTTTATTTTATTTTATTTTATTGATACCAGGAATCGAATTCAGGACCTTGTGCTTGCCAGGCATGCACTGCGCTGCTGAGCTATATCCCTGGCCCTATAGTTCTATTTTAATTAAAAACCCTAAATGTTGTTATAGTTCTTTTCCCCTCTCGATGGTTCAGAACTTCCTTATTTTCCTCAGAGTCTCCAGGAGACCAGGTTGATTACACAAGGGATTGGTCTCCTTGCTAAAGGCTGAGAGCTTGGCAGCTGTCCACGGGGTTGGGCTGGGTTGGGCCCTGAGTTCAGCAGGGGCTGCTGCCCAGATTCAACCTTCCAAGGGCAGGAAGGTCTTGGTGCCCACTGTGGTGGAGTCCTGCCTGTCTCAGGATCATAAGTCTCTCTCTCTTTTTCTCTTTTTTCTCTCACTCTCTTTCTTTTGTACTAGGAATTGAACCCAGTGCCTTTGCACAGAACTATATCTGCAGCCCTTTTTAAAATTTTGAGACAGGGTCTTGCTAAGTTTCGAAGTTATCCCTGCTGGGCTTGCCCTTGTGATCCTCCTGCCTCAGCCTCCAAGAGTGCTGGGACTGCAGGCATGCGTCTCTGCACCCAGCGACTTGTCTCACCTCTTGAGAATAAAGGAGGAGCGCTCAACCTTCTCTCTGCAGAAGCTCAGACACTTGGAGAAGCTGTAGAGTCTTGTTTTAAGGTTGGGAAGAAGATGGTGCCATCTGGTGCGACTTTCTCCCAGGATTCCATTAAGCAGAAGTATTTCCTAGAGAGTGTAAAACCCAGCATGAGCCTCTCGTGTGAGGTACTGTCTTGTTGAGTTTAGTTCATCCTCCCTACTGTCTGGGTCCCTAGGATTTATGATTCTGTCACCCAGTTGACAGGCTTTCCTAGCTGTTTCCTGAAGATGACTTCGCTGAAGCTCAAGGCTTTAATTCTGTGATGGGCCCCTAGGGAGCTTTTTTAAAAGATAGTGTACATTAATCGACATTCTTCAGCAAATATTACCCAACTTACCACATCGTTCCCTTCTTAGTTCACACTTTCTTGTCTGATCCACCAGCTGAAAAACCGAGTGGCAGTCATTACAGAAATCTGACCTCAGGGCGTCTCTGGCTCTTCTCCTGCCCAGGGTTCCATGTGTACAGGACCCTTGTTTGTTTCCCAGACTTAACCTGCTTCTTTTTGCACCAAGCTTTTCACTTCCTCAAACACCTCTGCCTCCTTCTTACCCCAGGGCATTTGCACAGAAATCCCCGCTTCTACCGTCATCTCCAAACAAGGGTTGGAGGCCTTCCTTTGACCTGCTTGATCAAGTTCCCTGGGTTCTGCTAGCACAGCGTTCTGTGACTTAATGATGATTTCTGTGATTCTCTGGGAATCTTATCTCTCCCACTAGCCTGGGAGCTTGGAGGGCAGAAACCATGTCTGTCTTGTTTATTGCTGTGCTCGGACCTTGCTCAGCCTGGACCCACAGAAGGTGCTGAGGAAATGAGCATTTAGAACAAACTGTGTCTTTTTTCCTTTGTAAGACGGGAATACGTAGGAATCGTACCCACCTGACTGGGTTAGAGGAAGCATCATGGGGTATGATAAAAAATGGTGATTTTTTTAAATTAAAGAAACTTGTTACGGTAAAGAACACATTAATCTTACTCAAAATCCTCCCCTCACTTCCCACACACTATCCCATCATTTTTGCTACTTTCTGAAGCAGCTCTATGCGTCCTCTTTTGGGAGTATCTTTAGTGGCACTCTCATGGCTGGACTGATGTCCCGAATCCATTGCAAACGTTTACCTTTTCCTGATTGTTTTGATTTTGGGGAAGAGCCAGCAGTTGCACAGTGCCAATCTATTAAACAGGGTGGATGGGGACACAGTGCCACGTTCTTACGAGCCTGCTACTCTGTTGGGTGGTACTTGGCAGCAGCATTTACCACATTTTTGATCACATCTTGTAAAAAGACCCTCAGGAAAGAGGACTTCCAGAGCTGCTTCAGAAAATGGCAAGAATGATGGGATGAGTGTGTTCCAAGAGGGGGGTTAATGGCAATGAGCCTTTTCCTGCAATAAATTTTAAAAATTTAAACGTTCACTGTATACTTCTATCATACCTTGTAGAGAAGTGGAAACACGTAAAAGCACTTGGAACAGTGATTTGCATGGATAGGCAAATGTTCCTGAAATGTTATTATTTTTAAAAGAACATATGAAAAAACAAGAAGAGGAAGTTTTTCATATGCAGCATGGCCAGCCCGTTCCTGACTGCTAGGAGCAGGCTCATCATGCCTGAGTTTGTGGCTGTCTTACTAGGAGACATTGTTTAGTAAGTGAGCCTAAAGTTTTGCAAGGAGTTAGCACCTATTTGTGAAGCCTTTAGTGTTAGGACTTCACCCACCCCCCGCTGCACAAAATGAGGATCCTTGTCCATATTTAGCCTTCTGCCAAGCTCTGTGCTGTTCTCTGTGATTGCTCAAGAGTCTTGTGTACAAGTTCTTGCAATTCCTTACCGGTTAGCTCATCCGGTTTGGGAACTTGAACTTGCTCTGCTCGGAATGCTTGAGCCTTTCTTTTCGTTCTCTTGCTGTGAGGCTGTGTTTTACCTTCATGATTTCTCTCCCTGATGGAGAGCTAGTCTGTCCCTGGTCCTTAGAAATCATCAGTATTACACTCCAACGTGACCGTCACGGTAGGCACCAATTATCCGCTCTTTTCACTGATAGTGATCCTGTTTCACCCGACGATCTCCAGCGCCAGGCTCCCTGTCGATGGATTCACAGCGTCCACTCACCCATCAGGGGCCCACCTGCCTACACATCTGAGAGTGTCAGGGTGCCAGCTCCCTATGGACAGAGGAAAGATACAGAGGAAGATGCTATATTGTCTGCCCACTTTGACAAATTATATTTTTGCAAAGAATGGAATCATAACTCACTCATCTGTGCATCCATCCATCCATCCATCCATCCATCCATCCATCCATCCATCCATCCATCTGGCACTACCTTAGTGCCTCACTTTAGTTCAGTGACTGTGCTAGAGTCTAGGAATATAGGGAGGAAGGTGTGTCTTTATCCCCTGGGAGCGTCCCATGTAGGGAGGAGAATGACTCCTATGCAACACAACATAGGGCACAACACACCACGTGCTTGTGCTAAGAGGGCCCCAGGAGGGGCCGTGATGAGAGTGAGAGATCCCACAAAAGCCTTGGCCACCTTGGAGCTGGGTCTCCTGGACTCCAGGGAAGGACTTGTTGGCCAGCTGCTCCCCTTGGGCCCCAGACGGAGCCATGCACTCTTGGTCTTGGAACTCCTCTCCTCAGTGAGGACGTGCTCAGCATGCTGGCCAGCTTCTCCGTTTGTGCACAGTGCTGGTGTCATCCCATCGCCGGGCTCCCGTGCCTCACCGCTGTCATCTCCCTCTCCAGCTTCCTGGGGATGGCCTTACGCTTTGCGTCCTCTCACATGCACGTTCTGTGTTTGCCCTGATCCTGGTCCTGACGCCGCATGTCTATGGTCGTATTTATGGGTACTGTCATCTTCTTCATGAACAACCACCGTGCCCATATTTGACGTGACGTTTTCCTCCCGTGTAGGTCCCTAAGTGGGAGCAAGTGCGTTCTATCACATCCAGAACTCTTGAAGCGCTAGTTCCAGGTGGTATGACAGGTCAGATTCACACATCACTCCTGGAGTTAACAAACGCTGATCGTCTTTCAACATTAGGAATTCATTTCCTACCTCTCAATGTGAGAAAGTTTTAATGTAACCAAGGCACAAAGAGTGATGGCTCTTCCTTATTCTCCATGGTGTAAAACTGTGTGTGTCCAGTGGCCGCACAGGTCCCAGGGTATCTGTGGCAGCGAGGGGTGGGGCTGTGGAAAGCCCCTCCCCCCGAGTGTGCACTCCCCTCCCCTCCCCCCAAGACTGAGAAATTTAAACCTGGCACAGACCTCACACATCTGGGGCAGGGTCAGTTCTTGCTGCTTTTATTTTTTGAGACAGGTTCTCACTAGGTAGTCCAGGCTGGCTTTGAACTAGCTTATGTAGCCCAGGGTAGCCTCAAACGCACAGTGATCCTCCTGCCTTAGCCTCCCCAGTGCTGGGACTACCGGCATGTATCACTGGCCCTTACTACTTTTTGAGACCTGGTCTAAAACATCTTCTTTTGTGTTGCAGATCTCCTACAAATATCTCATTATTGCTCTTGGAATCCAGCTGGACTATGAGAAGGTACTGTTTTAAGTTGTTTGTATGTTAAATTGGCTTATTTATGCCAAGATCAAACACTGTATTTGGTTGCTTTATATTCATTTTGACAAGAAAGAAGCCTGGAAAAATCTTCTCCTACTTCTATTTCTCAGTGTTCCTTTTATGGTATAAAAAAGTCTTCTCTAAGATTCTGTCAGTGATAACAATGTGTTTCAGCTTTAAGCTTTAATCAGAGTTCATTATATGTGTGCTGTGGTAGTAATTCATGTACACCAGCTGCTGTTCTGACAATTATAAAAAACCTGACTTTCTATGTGCAATTGAGTTGGCTGTATTAAAGATTAAATTTTCCTGTGCTAGTAAGATTTTTTTTTTTTTTGAGAAAGGCTCTCACTATGTAGTTTGGGCTGGGTTTTAACTCACTGTGTAGCCCAGGCTGGCTTCAAACTTGTGGCTATCTTCTTGCCTCAACCTCCCAAGTGCTGAGATTATAGGTGTGTGCCACCACACCTGGCTTAGAATAAGAGTTCTTAAGAGACTTTAAGGGTGGGATAGAGCAGTTAGTCATCAGACACTGAAAGAACACCTGCCTGGGTTTTGTTGTGCGGAGGCTGGCACTGTGGTACAAAGTGACCACAGCAGTATAAATGCTACCTTGCAAGCACGTTAGATCTTTTTTGTGAGCCAGATGCTGACTGACAGTTGTGAGATTCAAGTTTATTTTTCCAAAGCACAGTGGAATAAGTCAGCCATTGTTATGATTTCCAGGGGCCTGCTGGAGACAGAGGGTAAAAAGTTGTACACATAAAGCTTGGTACTAACCAGGTCACAGGCTGAAGGGCTGGGATCCCAGCAAGGGCCTCTTGGGGGGTAGCCCAGGAAGTCTCTTTGTGTTTCATGACTTCTCCAGGGCACTGGAGATGTCTTGGGATGTGTTGTGTGCCTGTACAGAGAAGCCATCCATCAATGAGTCATGTGGGGGGCGATTTCTGGACCTGTCCCAGGGCTCCTGATTCAGTAGATAAGCTGCATTCCTAGTCAGTTTCCAGGGGACTTGCTCCTTGAGACCAACCAGTTTAGAAATGTTAGGTAATTTATTCAGGATCACAAAAATCTTAAGTAGAAAAGCTGGCACTCAAGCGAGGTCTGTAAGATTCTAAAGCCCATGCTTTTAATGACCTGACTGTAATGCCTTTTGCGAGAGTTTGATGTGGTACAGCCTAAGAGGGGGTCATGTAGGTTTGGTATATTAATGATGTAAGTAAATGGCCCTTGGTCCCACCTTTCTGTCTTAGTCACTTTCCTGTTGAGGGGACAAAATACTGACACCCACGATTTAAAGGACAAGAGGTTTGTTCTGGTTCATGGTTTCAGAGGGTTCAGTCCATGGTCAGCTGGCTCCAAGGCAGAAACGGCCTGGCAGAGAGGTGTGAAAGAGGAAGACTACTCAACTCATGGTAGCTGGGAAGCAGAGAGAGCAGGAGGAGCTGGGGACAAGAATACCTCCTTCCAGGTCATACCCCAGTGACCCATCTCCAGCCCGGCCCCCATCCTAATGGCACATTCAGCTGTGATTAATCAATCCACTTATGAGTATGGCACCCCTATGATCCAGACACCTTCCAAAACTTCACCTCTGAACACGGCAGACTTTTAGGGGCATTTTAGATGTAAGCTGTACACCTTCTTTTCCAGGTAATGGAACTGATTCTCCTAAATGGAGGCATGGCAGACACCTTGCCCTTACTCCAAATGTGGGAAGAGTTGTACACAGGTCATAGTCTCAGGGACAGGGAGTGGAGGCTTCCATGGGCTGGGCCCAGTCTGTTGTTTGAGAGGAGAGCTCAGTGCCGCAGGTCTGGTCTGGGAACCTGTGCTCACCTGTGTGTCCCCTGTGTGTGCCCTCTGGGGGTCACTGTGGCACTGGAACACTTGCAAGGCTGTAGAAATGGCAAAGTGCTAGGACCCTACAGGCATTTCCACTTTGGTTTAAAACAGGTTTTCTATGTGCTTGCTTGCAGATTAAGGGCCTGCCTGAGGGTTTTGCTCATCCCAAAATAGGGTCCAATTACTCGGAGAAGACAGTGGAGAAGACGTGGAAGGCGCTGCAGGACTTCAAGGAGGGCAATGCCATCTTCACCTTCCCAAACACGCCCGTGAAGTGTGCCGGAGCCCCGCAGAAGATCATGTACTTAGCGGAAGCCTACTTCAGGAAGGTGGGTTTCCTCTTCCTGCAGAGCCGCTGGGCGGGTGGCGGCAACACGACCATCACTGGGGTCCATCCTTATGCCTGCCCTAGGGCCTTCTTTATTTCTAAATTTTTGTTACACACCTACACAGTAATATAACTTGAAGTTGATAAAATAGACAAAAGGGAGAGGTAACACCTAACTCAGTTGCTTTAATAATGCTGCTGTCATCAGTGTGATGTGTCCTTCCAGAGTTTCTTCTATGGGTTTAAAAAAATCTGGTTCTAAGCAGCATATTTATGAATTTAGATGTATTCCATGTGATCAAGTAGGCTTTGTGACATACTTTTTAATATATGTCTAAAAGTCCACTGGGGAAATATGTTAGAGATTGGTGATTTTCTTGCCTCAGCCTCCCCAGTGCTGGGATTACAGGCATGTGCCACCACGCCTGGCTAATACTTCCATATTTGAAGTTAGATAATTGCAAATTGATAATGTTTGTATGTGTGATACAGTAGCCTCAACTGTTTCCAATCAAGCTCAAGGTTATGAATATTTTCTGGTT